AGAAATGGGAGACAGAGGAGTGTGGGACTGTACTATTGCTGACCTACACGGGTTTATGCTCAGATTAGTTTATGCTGCTGTAGAATCTAGAGTTATATTTCAAGAACTATACTGAAAAGCACTTTTATAGAGGCAGCAAGAAGCATATACTCATTTTGTAGACAAGGAAATTCATATGGAGTGGTAAGTGACTTATTCAAGTTTGGACAGTTACAGCATGTTGCTGACAAGTTTTGCCATCAGTATTTTTTCAAATATACTTGGCGAGATACCTTGTCTTGTTAGTTCTTTTTGAAGTCTTTTGGTAGTGTTTGTTACTTACTCCTAATTTTTTTAAAAGAAGTCCTAACCAAAAAATGATAATGGTCTTCTTTCATGTTTGGGGACTCAAAACTTAATGACTTAAAACATAATCAGATAAAAGTGGGGAAACTAAAAGGAAGCTTGAATATTATGACTAAATACCTATATTTTAACAAATGTTGCAGTTGTTTTTAGAAAGCAAAATATGGAGGAAAAAATGTGGAAGAAGTAGAGGTTGTTAAAACTTAAAAATATATCATGATTTCAGGTGAAAAAATATGTCCCATGTGTGGAATTATGTTTTTAGTCTTCTACATGTAATCTCATTGTTATCAAGGCTGCAGTTCCCTTTTATGATACGTGACGCGTGACTTAGACTGGACATTTCAAATGTGAGGCAGTTAAGTGTACATCTTTTAATTGAAATTAAGTAAAAGTCCATGGCTAATGCCTTTAGAATCTTGGATGGTTACATCCCACTAACTTTTAAGTAACTAATGTGTATGTCTCAGAATACTGTAATCCAGAAATACATGACAGACCTTTTTTGTCTCCCTTTCAGACAGTTTAGTTAACTTCCACTTATGTTTGAATTAGCAAGTACCATACAGAAAAGTAAGAGGGAAGGATTATTTCCAAGTGGCTGAAAATACTCAGCTTTGCTTTAGTTTGAAAGTGAAGGGAAAGAAGAGAAATGACAGAGAAGGTATAGCCAGCAGGTAGGTACAGCTGTGAGTCCATCAATGTGGTCTTCTGAAGACAACATCTGCCTGAAATAGAATTTAAAATGTTGGCAGTTAGGCTGCTGTTGGTTTTTGTAGTGACTTCCTCAGCTGGGCGAGAAAGTGGGAGAACAGATTTATGTTCAGGAGCACTGAGGACCTCACCAGTGATTTGACAGAGAAGGTATAGCCAGCAGGTAGGTACAGCTGTGAGTCCATCAATGTGGTCTTCTGAAGACAACATCTGCCTGAAATAGAATTTAAAATGTTGGCAGTTAGGCTGCTGTTGGTTTTTGTAGTGACTTCCTCAGCTGGGCGAGAAAGTGGGAGAACAGATTTATGTTCAGGAGCACTGAGGACCTCACCAGTGATTTGGAGGTAAAAAATAGCTTCTTTGGTCATTTACTATTTGTTAATTGTTGAATATTTAGCTGAAACTTTTAAGTTCATCTGCAAAGCTGTTTAAGTAGGGGAAATTTGAGAGTTCATTTCTTAGTTCTAACAAACTGATGTCTTAAACTACAGGTTAACCACACAGGTAATATAGGCAAGGAAATGAAGTTCTGTATACAGTTTTTGCTGTACAGGGACATTTTGAAATAGGCCTGAACTGCATATGCTTTCATAACTGCATATAATTTAAAAAAAAAAGTGCCTGATAATCTCTCAGATGTATCACACTTAGACATTTTTCAGTTAAGGGAAGAGTAGGGAGAACAATGAGAAAATAAACAAAAGAACTCACATGTTTTTCAGTGTTGATCCCTAAAATAATTGTTGTGCTGTCTCTCCAACCCATCCTGCCAGTACGTGGTGAAGAGAAAATGTCACACTTCATTTCAACTATCTGACAAAGTAGCTTTTGGAAATAAAAGCTACAATTTTAGCATTGACCTCTTTATGTTCAGGAGAAGCAGAAAAGGTGAGGGATAACATTGCCATGCTGTGTTTCATACATTGTGTAGGCAGTATATTTTCTATTTTTCAGCAACAGTATGCTGTTATAGATAAAGCAATGTATTTCATTAGTTTCTAGTGCCAAACTGAAACGGAAAAAGAATTGGTTTGGAACAACTTTCTACACGGAATTAACTGCAGATGGAGAAATTAAGAAAACAGCAAAATCAAGTAGTTCTTCAAATCCAAAATGGGATGAGCAGCTGACAGTGTAAGTAGATTTTTTGGTTGTTTAATACTATTTATTAGGCAGACATTGCAGGCAAATATTTACTAAGCTTGGCTGCCTATGTAGTTTTCTCTGGCTGTTGATGACTAAATGCAGACATAAGATGATATTTATCTCAAATGAAATTTTTTTTCTCAATTCTTACAATGTTTAGAGAATATTTTTTATACACAGAGTGTTCCTTGCTTACAGTTGCTATATGTGGTATACTCTTGATATTTGTTAGCACTGTGGACCATTCAAGTTTAAGATTCCTCTCTAGAAGATATTACTAATTGTAACCATTAGCCACTCTCAACTTTAAAAGGAAAAAAAATCTCAGCTGGATAAGTAGTAGTTATGAGGAAGGTCACTTTTTCCTTTAAATTTCCTAATGAAGGGATACACACACAAAAACAGTTTATTGCAAAGTGACCTTGCAACTTATCCTAATATTTGACCTTTTTAATCTTCTTGTGGTTTAATTTGGTTTAACTGTGCTACAGGTGTAGATATACCTGAATATGACTCTGTGAAGAACCGGCAATCTTGCAGTGTCCAGTTGGCTAGAATGCATTACTATACAAGCAAGATTGTACTGCTTCAGATTTGCGTCTGGAAACAGCATAGCTACTATCAAGTGGCATTGAGCATGGGCCAGTACATTTTACAGCATCTGACCTGTCTTTGTGCAATAGCCAGCTTTGTTAGTAGTAGGAACCGTGCCAGGTTCCTATTACTAACAGTGCTGGAGAATGGGGAGTGGTACAACATACCTAGCTTTGGGGAACCGTTTGCTTGGGAACACTTACTTATTAACTACAGACCTGGGCTAAAACAAGTAGGGTATTCCTGTGCCACATTTCTCAATGTTTCAGGTTTAGTAGAGCTTATTAGCCCTTTGCAGTATTGCAAAAGAGAATAATACAGTCTTGCACCTGATGATGATTTCCAGGAGTTATTACTAGCACAAGTACAGAGCTATTGATATATTCACAGAGACCAGAGTTTCTGTTGAGGAGGTAGGTTTGATTTGGCAGGATTTGGTGAGCTGGTAGAAATGAGGTAATTTGGCATGCACAGTTCAGCCAAACAGACTTGTTCCATCATCAGTATTACTTACTTAGGATCTTACCCTTATATATGTATATAAGGTGTTCTGGCCCCCTCTTCCTCTGGCTATGGGAATGGTATCATTGCTTCAGTAGCCCAGTCTATTTGAGGATAACTGAATTCTCTGGCTTACCAAATTCACCTCACTTCTATGGGTCTGCATGAGCACCAGCAATATATTCTCTGTGTGTAGGTGTTTTTTTTTTTTTCTTTTCTTTGTTGAGCTGGTCTTTTAGTATGACTTCCATTAGAAGGCAGCCTATTCAAAATGCAAAAATATATTTGCTCATGGGTTTCAGCAAAAATGATCCACTTTGTCCAACACGTTCAAGTGACTATAAAGCTAGCCCTGTTGTTGGGAGGGTGGGAGTTGTTTTTAGTACTGTTTTCATCAATGCTGATACAACTTTCTGTATCCAATACTGATAAATATGTGGCCTTTCACTTTTTGCAGTACAGTGATTCTACTCCATTTTTCACAGCCAGGAGCACTCTTGCAGTACTAGACCCTGTACTACAAAACTTACTCGCCAGGACCTAGCATAGCTTCCTGTTTTCCTTCTTGAGGAGGGGAGAGATCACTGCCAAAAGTTATCATAATATTACTATAATTGGATCCTTTACCTTTCTGCTTCCCTCCAATTTTTATTTTAGCTTCATCATTTGATTTTTCCCCTCTGATTTCTGTGAGTATGCATTATGGTTCTATATATATTTGTGGATTCACAAATAATGTTTTATCAACACTTTCTTGGCAAGCTGACACCTGTTAAGTGGGTTCTTCCTACTTGCAAGTAGCTGATTGGTTGCTTTTTCCTTTTTTTAAAATATTTAGTATTTTTCTTTCTAGTGACAGACAAATATACTTTCCACCTTTTTCTCCACATTTCATAATGTGAGTTTTTAGTTAGAATTCTGGAATAGTGAGGGATAAGGAAAATATGTCTTTCATAAATAAAGTAAGATATGTTTTATAAAACTGAGATTTGAGCTTAGTGTAGATTATGCTGATACTCCTCAAATTCCTTATGCTATAGCAGTAATGCACTTTAAGTTCAATCTTAAGTATAAATATCATAGTGTTTGCAGTTCTTAGTTAAAAATTTCCCCTTGCAGTACAAAAACTTCTGTCAGTTAATTAGTATCAAGAAATACAAAAATATGAGAAAGTAAATTAAGTTCAAATACTCCTAATAAAAAGAATGAATACTTTAAAATCTGTATATATTTTTAAAAAAAATGTATTTTATATGCAGGAATGTGACTCCACAGACTACGCTGGAATTTAGAGTGTGGAGCCATCACACTTTAAAAGCAGATGCTTTATTAGGAAGAGCCACTGTAGACTTGAGACAAGCTTTGGAAATACACAATAGAAAATGTAAGTTATCATGAAGGATATTTCGAGTAAAGTAAAATTATTATTACTAATCTATGTATCAAACTGGCAACCAGACTACTAACTATACATGTAACTACAACTGACTTTCAGTTGATGTCTTTACTTGTCTCTTCCAGAGATGTCTGTGCTATCGAGAGCAATTTAAATGTAACAATGGGATACAATAATTTTGAAACAAACATTAGAATGTGAGTTACTACAAATTAAGTAAAAGCGGAAGTGACTAAATACAATGTTTTGTGGCAAACTAATAACTAATTTTGCTAGAAGATCTGTTTTAGACTTGGTAAAAAAAAAAAAAAGTCTAAACTTTCAGAAAAGCCATCTATGTAATTTTTCATGTTTTCCTTCTCTGGAATCACTAATAGAAAGGCTAGATATTTTTCCCTCATAATTTAGCTGCCCAGAGAGCAGTAGGAACCACTGGTTAATGAAACAATTGAGAACTTCCTTTTAGTACATTAAGGATTGTTGTGTTCTATGTAACTTCTAGTTTTAATTGTCTCTAATAGAATTAAAGCAGGTCTTCTTTATCTAATTTGCTTTTTAAAATTTTTTTCATTAGTACAAGAAGATGGTGAATCCACACTTTAAATTCCACCCCAGAGTGGCAGTAGAATTCCAGCTAAACCAATCTCTAACCTTTCTCACAAGTTAGATACACAAACCTGAGAGCTCTGTTTAGGGAGGTGGGGGGAAAGGAGAGCCAAAAAAAGCTTCATTTTTCTGATTCTTGCAGAAAATTGCAACAAAACCCAAAATCAAGTGGGGTGTCTTCAGGAGTATCATAAAGATTCTGCCGAAGATTCCATAGTTAAGCAGAAAAATTGCTTCTTTTTTAAATTAAAAGAACTGTATCAGAAGAAACTGGGTTGTAATAATGATAACAAAAAAAAAAGTTAATATTTTAACTATTTCTAACAAAATAGTTAATCTTTTATTACTGTAGATCCAGGGGATGTAGGATCCACAACTTGGCAAATTCTTTCAGGGAATGGTTGACTTAGCTGTACATTGCACCAAAAGTAATTTATGTGCAGTGTTTCTGATTTGGGCAAGTCAGCAGTTTGACACACACTGGATTATCCAATAATTTAGTGGCAGAATAATCTGATTGGTATCCTTCAGTCATTCAGTTATTGATACCTAATCTAAAATGCAGCACTTGAAAGGCTCTTTACTGAAGAAAATGTAAAGGGGAAGTCCTCTGAATGCAGAAACTTTAGAATTAGTGCTGTTACTTTCTCCTGCTAAACACCACCAGTTGAATTGCTGCCTACACCCCTCCCAGCTTTCTTGCCAGCTCAGCTGGACTACAGCCAGCTGTTGATCTGGTTTGGGGAGATAACCTGTTAAAATAGCAGAAGCTACACCAATCGCCCTTTGCAGAAATGATGATTTATAAATATGTTAATTTGAACAACTCAGTGGTAGGCTAGTTTCTTCTTTCTCTTCTTTCAGGTAGCACTGTTTTCCAAAATGCAGGTTGCTAAATTAATAATTCTGTAGATTTGGGAGCCTTGTGCTTGCTCCAGCAATTTAAAATGCTTTGAAATCCATTGTAATATAGCAGTGGGTGACTGCTAGTAACTGCTGCCCAAGTACGCTGTCGAACCTGCTCTTTAAAGTAACAGCTTGGGGGTATCTGGCAATAGCTTATGGTAGCCTTCCCTGTTTTCATGTTTATTGTTCATTTACGATATATGTTAAGAATGAAAAAAATAAGGAAATGCTAGTTTAATGCATAGAAGTGCACAGTGAGCTTTAACTTTAGCTTGGAATGCTATCATATGGAGGGAAATATGGTGGTATATCTTGAAAAATTGATCTTGTAATCTCAGACCGCAAATACTAAAAGGCCTTAACCATTTTAACCTGATTAATGTGAACTCATAGCTGACTGTGTTTGGATTTGTGACATGTAGCTTTAACTGCTGTACTACTAGTAATAGTTGATTTAGACAGAATTACGCAGCATCCACAGCGTCTTTTACCTCTGGATTATGTATGTCTCTCTACAAATGTGTGCATTGCTTATCAGTCATATTGAATTCTTCTACTGCACCATGTACACATTTTTTTGTATATCTCAATTATCTCAAAGTTTCTTTTGGTGAAAATAGTTTCTGATTTAATTTTTGGTTACTTGAGGTATCCTTTCTTTTACTGTTTAATCCTTGGAGTTGGGATCTATGACAATGCTAGTAAAGATTTACTAAAAACAATTTTAAAAAATGAGGAAGGACTCTATGCAGTCTTTGCATTTCCTTCTTCCTCAAAGTGATGTTCTTTTTAGTGGTCTCTTAGAATTAGTTTTGGAAGGTGATACAAGAAATGAACATAAGCTGTGGTTGTAGAATGAGGTTCCCCGTGACTTGTAATATTTGGATGTGTGCTTCAGAAGTTGTTTGACTTTAAGCCTTTCCATGTTACGTGAGTAGTGCATAATTTCAAAAGGGCTTAGTGGAAACAGCAAACCTGGGAAATTATTAACAACAGAGTACTGAAACCATGTGGATCCTATAGCATACCTATAGAATATACTATGTAAATGGCCAATATATTTTTACAATAAACTACTTTTACCCACAGCAGATGTAAATTTACACAGCTCCTTAGTGATTTCTATGTTGATTTGAATCATCTGAATATCTCTCGTTCAGTTTTATACAACTAAATATACGTATCACATTTTTGTGTTGAAAGTCTCTTTTAATGTTTAGAATTTAATCTTTCCTTTATCCCTTCTCTCCTTCTCTCCCACTACCCACCCCAACTCCATTTTTAGTGGAGAAGGTGAAAGAACAGTTGAAACTCTCTTTGGAAAACAAGAGTGGCATGGTGCAAACAGGTGAACTGACAGTTGTGCTAGATGGTTTGGTTGTTGAACAAGAATCTCTTACAAATCTCAGTTCATCAGCAACCAGTAAGTTAAAATAATTAAATCAGATGGTAATATTTTGATTAAGATTTCAAAGAGATATAATAGAATATTTCTGTTGAATTTGTTTCTTACTGTTCAGTAGAAGTTCAGCAAAATGGTGAGGCTGTGCATGAAAGCAGAGATGCTTCAGCAAGAAGTACATCCAGGTTGGAATTCATTTTTGTGTTTTACACTATATGAAGTATATTAGCAAATTTATTGGTTGAAATGTTTGGGTTGTATGTGGGTTGTATTTTTTTTTTTTAATTTTTTGAAGGGGATAGTTTTTAACTGTCAAGCCCTAAATTGTGTTAGCATAGGTTTTAGAAACATTACTTGTATGATAATTACATAACTTAGCTTGAAAAGAATTAAATTTACAACTCTGCTCTTCCTGTGCTTGTAGAGCCTGCTCTCCACTACTTTATCATTGCTTTTTGTCTGTGTAGCCCCCTGAGCATAATAATTCAACAGATTGGAAGTCTACTAAATGCTTCAGCAGAGATTAGGAAAGCAGTGGTTCAGTGTAGTTTTGTGTACTTATTCCATTTGTTTTCTTCTGCTGTTTAAGAACCATTTCTATTCATGTCTACCAACTTGTTGCAGCATACCATCTGAACGGAAGGAAGAAGAAAAAAAAGCCTAAATTACTTCCCCCTCACCCAGTTCCTTTTTAAGGTCGTGATCAGGAATTTGTTTGAGAGACTTGTATTGAGTTTAGGAAGCAGTATTCAGAACACTGAGGCAAAGGGTTTGCCTGCTTCAACCTGAAGTGGGAAGAAAAAGGCTTTGGGATCAATTTAGAGCTTCATTCTTGGCTTCTCTATCTTTATACCAGCTCAAGGATTGCCTGGAGAGAACTAGGAGTAGATTGTTTGCCCCCTCACCACTAGTGAGTCAAATAGGTCAACATTCAGATCAATTTAATGTTACTGGCCTGCTCAGTTACTTTGCGGTGAACCCGTTTCTGTTTGAGTTCTTGACACACAATGGAGTGAAAAAACATACAGTTGCTATGCTTTTGAGTGTCAGGGACACATTTGTCCTTGTACGCTTGACTTGATTCTTTTTTTGAATATGTGGAGGTTTGTCTCTGTTTCCCCATAGGTGCCCAATATGAGGGAGCGAGCGTAAAAAGGTGCTTCTCCTTCGTTTTCGTTAGAAAGGTTTGGGACTGTTAAAAGTGACTTGAAACACATCTGCATACCATTTTGAAACAGTAGTAACAATCATTTGTTTTCATTCAGCTGCTGTTGCTGGAGGTGTGGCTTTTACTGGGATTCTTCTCTTGATGTTGATATTTTGATTACAACAGTTTTCCATACAACTATCCAGCAGTTTTGATTTATAGTTTTAAAATTAAGAGATGAGAAAAAGTTTTAAGGTAGCTTCTGTGCATGTCTTTAAGAAGCAAATTGGGTTTGTAGTCTAGAGTTGAAAAAGGGTAATACTTTAATTCTCTGTTTATACTACTTCTTTGGAGTAGGGTAAGGTAGCATGGAAATGCTGCTGCTTCCCTGCTTACTCTGCAGAGTGGGACTTCTAAGAATTCTCACATTTTTTGTCACCTGTTTAACTTCTCTTTAATTTTTAGCCTCTACTCCTTGAGAAGATGAGGAGTTGGCATTGAATGTAATTTTCACAATATGTGTCTCGGGTGGGTGGCTTTGAGCATTTTGGGATAGATTTAAGTAAAAACAGTGTAATTGAACAAGACTTTCCATTCACAAGCCCTTACACTACATTTATTTCCATTATAAACACAGAGCTGCCTGTGTGTATCTGTCCTCACAATGTCCCATCCTGCCTATGCATAGAGAAGCTGATCTTATTTTCCTTTTACTGAGGCAGAGTTTTGTTACTTTCTTATGTAATGACTAGAATAATTTTTGGAGATAGGACAACCAAAACCAATTCTTCCACTTGCTTAATGAGAGAAAAAGTTTTCCTGCTCATAGCTGCACTTTGGAAGGGTCCCTAAGGCAGTTTTGGAAGATGTGGCAAACGCATCAGTCTGCCCAACTCAATTCTAGTATGTCATTACAAGTAAAAGATGAAGTGGAAATTGAAAATCTTATCTGCTTTATGTATCTGAAATCCTCAAAACGAAAATTTGCCTTTTGTTCCTTAATTGTTTTGCACTTGCACTTGACTGTTATCTAGGCTGCAAACGTTGTGTTATAAACTGTTGTGAATTTACTTCCATTTCTTTATTTGTTTCTTTAGCGTAATTTAGTGCAGGATTTGGTTTAGTGCATAACTGTTTAACATGTTGTTTGTAGTAACCTAAAATGATCTTTTATTTTTACCAAGATCTGCTGGTGACATTTCTAATGGGATAGACAATCAAGTACCTTCCAACTCTGTAGTACAGAATACATTCTGTATAGAAGCCGTTAATGGAGACAGCACACCATCTCCTACTCACGTTGCAGCCAGACCCAAAAATATACCAGTACCAAAACCACTTGCAGCTCAGCCTGTCAACAGCACTGGTAAGAATGGGAGACTTACGGGAACATGTTCCATAAAGCTTTTTTGTCTGGTTGAAATGTATCTGAAGTTGAGCCACTTTTTCTATACATTTTGTATTAGATTTCAGAAATACTGAAAGGGTGTTTCTGGGCTTGAATTTATAATCTTGCATGTCCACTTCTGTGAATTTTTCTTGAATGTACTAACTTTCATACTTTCCCATTAGTTCTCTTCTCTGATGAAGAAAGATGTAAAGCATCCAAAACTCCCATTTCTCTGTCCCAGATGACTAAACCATTTCTCTCCCCCAGATGATTGTCTGGAGGAAAAATCAGATTTCTTTCACAATTAATTTGAGTATCTACATTTAAGTTTCTTTTGCCATTAGATAAATCTGATTTTTAGTGCTGTGCGGGAACTGCTGTGCTCCGAGTTGGGATCTGTTGCAGACTCTCCTTGCCTTCCATTTTTTCAAAAAGTATGCTGTTTCAAAACAGGCATTGGCAAATACTAAATTTCATTTTCCTCTTAAATACAAAAACTTTGATTATGACTACAAGTGACATTCAGTACAGTAAAACAAGTGAAAAGTAAGTCTTTTAAAATTTTTGTTCCTCTAACAAAACTTTGCATCTAATTATGACTGTGCTTTCTAAGTACTTTCTGCCTTTTCTCAGCTGTCTGAGAGAGATTACAGTGATAGCAGAGGAAAAAGATAACCTTAAATAGAAATAGGCAAGCTGTTAATAAACAGTAGGACAGAGACTGTCAAACTTCCTGTAATAGAGTGGGAAATGTGGGTATGGTGGGAAGATAGCAGAAACAATTATGAACTTTAAAAGGTAATAATTAAATTAGGCCTTCTCTGAAGCTTTTCTCTATTTGGAGAACTTGAATTTGATTCCCCTCTCTTTTCAGTTGAAGGCTAGAGGGCATATATATTGTTTAGGCATTGCTCCCTTTTTCTTCAGTAGCGGAGAGATCCATTTGAAATCTGTATTAGGATAGGGTAATTGCAAAAATAATTGATTTGTTCAAAGAGTAATATTGATGAAATCATCACTGAGCTTGCACTGAGGCACTGATATAACAGTTTTCAACTATTGTACCAGTTGGTGGAAACTTTTTTAAGGCAAGGCATAAAACAGATCTCCAGCATTTGTTGATGACAGACTTCCCCTCCCCACCCCCTGCACTGTTGTGCTTATCAGGATTGTAATTTCATGTGATGTTGCCAGAATTGCTGTTTTAGATCTAATTGGTGAGGTAATCGGCTGATATAATGTTTTATAGATCTGTTTTGGAGATCAGCTTACTAAAAGAGCTGATGATTTGTCAGTTATTTTGCTTCTAACTTTGTTATGTAATCCCATTCACTCTTTCATGTGGATGAATTGAGTGTTTTTTTTTAATGAGAGCTGAAATTTCAGTTGGCTTTTTTCCTATTTAAGTAAAATTGTTGCTAGTTAAAGCAGAAGTTTGAAGAAACTTGATCAGATTGTCTGTAGTTATGATTTTTTTTAATGCCATGCTTTACATTTGCTTGAAATAATACAAAGTCTCGACATGTCTTAATGTAGTTAATCTGTTTTGTGTGAGCTGGAAATAGTGATGTATTACCCCGGAATAGTTGTGTTCAAAAAGCAATGCCATTACAGATCTTACAAATCTGCTGCTGCCTGTAAAATCATGCTTATCATTATGCATATCAAGAAAATATTTATGGCCCAGTGGTAATTCCTTAAAGAAACTGACTCGCTAATTTAAATACATTGCTGATGACAGTTTTATTGTTTGTAATTCTTTGATCTGCTTTTCTGACCACCTGGGAAAGCAAGAAATTGCTGACGTTATATACGTATTGCAAGTAAAAAGTAGAATCTAGCTATTTTCTTATTTGTAAGAGTGTTATACAGAATTAAAGTGAATGAACTCTTTAAAATGATGGAACAGCATTTTATAAGCACTTAGTCTAGGGTTAAATTTTGCAAATCTGTATCAGTAAGGTTATGAGTATAGAGCAATTGTATTGGTCTCAGTCCTTAGAATTGCAAGCTGATAGTATACTGTTAGATAGAAAATTACTTGAAGTCTACGTTGCATGTTATATTTAGTCTTGTAGAAAAATAGTTCCAACTCTAGAAAAGGTACAAACTGATGAGTTTAAATAGAATTGTCACTGTCTGGTGTTGATTAGTCGTGCTGAAAATGAAAGGTGTGAATGATGTTGCACTATTTTTAATAGGGCCTTGACTTTTAATGGGGGTCCTACTGACTGCCATACCTGATTTTGCTTGTCTAAGACAAGATCTTGTGCTGAGATTCTGTTCTATTAAGCTCTGCAGATGATTGGTATTGATGTATTGTTGGCCAAGTGGGCTTGGGAGTAATAAAGCCTTTTTAGCCCCCTTCTCCTGCTAAGTCCATGCCTGCTTTAAACCTTTTATGAGATTATGCTTGCTTGAGTTGGATGACATTTCTATGATTCTTTAAAAGATGGAAATTGATTTACTTTGTGATTTTAAATAATTGTCTTCAGTCATTGAACTGCGTAAGTTACGTTAGCCAAATACTAATTTTTGTATTTTAATGCTGCTTTTGGAGGGGGATTTTTTTTCCAAGTCACACACAGGTGGTTTTTGCTTAATTGTAGGGTTCTGTACCTCAACTTGAAAAAGGAAAAAAAAATCATCTGTAAGAATGATTAGTTTTCCAAATTTCATATTTATCTCTTAATATTTTTCTTTCATGTCACACTAATCAAGATTCTTTTTTGAAGTTGATATAAGTTCAAAGTTTCAAAGCAAATAAAGCAATACTGTTTTCTGGGAAGCAGATGGGTACCTTTTGCTAATCTAAAGAGTAAGATGTAACGTTGAGTTGATCAAGATACGCAGAAACTAAGAAATTACTTAGCAGGGAAGTATAGAGAATGACTTGCAGACTGTAAGTTGTAATTACAGCTTTAACTGAGGCAGGTGCATTGTGACTTTTTGTCATCTTAGACGAAAATGCTGCTTATGGCATATAGGTGCGACTTAAATGTATACCTTCCGTGTCATTTACTCCAAAAGTTGGTCATTTGAAAAGTAAATCTTATCAGATTCTGATACACAAATGTTCTTATTTCCGATTTCTCAGTTAATGGCGAGTCATCCACCTCTGCACCAGAAGCTGGCAATTCTTCTGTCTCTGAGGCTCCGATAGGTTCAGTCGAAGCTCCCATGTCTTCAGATTGCACTAACACTACAGCAGAACCTCAGTCAATGACAGAAGCAACTAGTTGTTCTGAAAGCCACACTTCTGCATTACCTGTTGTGTCTGCTGGACTAGAACCTACAGCTGCAACAGACTGTGCTCAGCCTAATGCTAGAAACAGTGTAGCAGCAGATGCAGCAAAACCAAGGGAATCCTCCTCCACCTCAAGTGCGTCTGCAGAACCCGTAAGACAGCAGCCTGGTAATGCCAGTACAGAACCTTTGCCACCAGGGTATGTGGGCTTGATTTTAATGCTATAATTATGTTTCATCTGAACGTACATATAAAGAAACAGAAATTTAATTCTGGGGTTGCCAAATGCAGGTCAGTTGGCTGAGCCAGGGTTATTTGATCTAAAATGGGGTTTGTACTGCTGCTATAACTGGCTAGTAGCTCTTGTCCCAGAAAGTAACAACTGATAACTGATTTGCTGAGACAGTATTGTGATCTAAATAGATGAACTCTTGGGCATTATGGACATGAAGACTTTTCATTTGATAGATTCAAACTTATTTGGGTCATAATTTGTTACTCCTTTGGTTCTTAAACTATGAGAATGTAGTAGGGATCAAAATACAGAGAAGTGAAAATTAATAAAATAGTCTAGAAATACTTGTAGGTGCTTGCTGTGTAACAATGAGATCAGTAATGTTATAGATAAAAATACAGACTTGAAGTGTATGTATGTGCTCAGAATAGCTAGAAACTTTTAATTCTACTAGATTGTTAGAAACTACTTCTGTAGTCCTAAGCCTTAAATGCAAAACTAAAGATGTGCTTAGTCATTAAATGAAAATATAATACATGCTCAAATACATATATTGATCTTAAAATTTTTTTATAGATGCTTTCATGTTTGGGTGAAAAGATATCTTCAGTAACTAATCAGAAATACTGACATTTCTGTAATATTCTAAATATTAACTATATTAGCATTTTCTGAACACAGAAATTGTTCCTTACGCCGAAGTGTATATACCTTGTGTCATTGTAGCTGATCTTTCAGAGGGCCTGTCTTGTACCTGCTCCCTCTGAAGGAGGTTCAGTAAGTTATTGGTGACACTTCACTTGAGTTTCTGCAGTTGGAAAAACATGAAAACAAGCACCTAAAAAGATAGAAATATTGTATATATGTTGTTGGGGAAGAGTTAAAGTTTTTAATTTTCAGATGCTGTGACAATGGAAGCTCTTTATAGGTGGGAATTCCTGTGGTCATCCCCCTTCCATACACTCTTTATTTTTTTTTTTTAAATTAATTACATGCTTTCCCATTGAGGACACGGTCATGAGTTCCAGGCATGGTGCACACTATGGCCAAATGCATTTCTTCATCATTCCTCCCTGATCACGTTTCTGTGGCGTGGGGTTTGTGGTCCCCCCACCCCTACTCCAGTCTAGCTGAGTCTTCATTATGTTTAGTCCTAGTAACTCTGTAACATGCTGCTGCTCCTCTGTTATCATTTTGTAATCTTAGCACTTAACCTCTTGAACTGCAGAAAACATTTTGTAGGAGTTTTATAAGATACTCTGTAATAGTGAGGAAATGCACACCAAATCTGTGAGTAGCAGGCAAGGTGTTCTGCCTACGTTTTTAGGAGCTAATTAATTATGTATATAAGAAAAAACCCCATATATCTAATGCAAGCAAGGGCTTCAGCTTTTTGTCTAACATTTATCCTGGTTTCCTCTCCCATTTATGAATATTTTTATTGCATTAAGGCAGTTCTCAGCAGCACGAAACTTCGGTTGTTTCTAATGTTTGGTCCTCTCTCCATCTTCAATGTAAGTTTGCTTTGCAACTAAAACGGAAGAAATAATCCCCAGGGATATCAGATAGAGAATTTACCAGGATAGGAAATAGAAACACAGGAAAACCGTCTGATAGCCCACATTTCAGGTTCACTCTGAAAGATCCTGTTGTTTGTTGGATACAGGGAACAGTGCTTCAAAATGTAAACTCCCTCTCTTTTTGAGAGGGGCATGTGCTTGGAAATGCAAAGAATCTCTAAGCACTTTTTGAATGAGGTTATTTTAGCATCCAAGCCTTGAGCAGATAATTAATTGACTTTGTTTTCAGATACCTTAAATAGAATTTGAAAATGCTTGTGAATATTGACGTATGCTCATTTTATGTACTAAGTCTTTTAAAGAAGTCCTTATGGTGATATCAGTTCAAGTAGGAAGTAACAGATGTATTCTAGTGTGAGTTTTCTTTGGTGCTTTAGAATGAGTTTTGGATCATAGGATTTTCATTCAATACCAAAGTACTTTTTTGGCTTAGTAGGAAATAAGTCCTAAGGAAGTGTTTTCACCTTGACTTACATAAAAGTATTTTTGTCTTGAAGGTGGGAGCAAAGAAAGGATCCTCATGGTAGAACCTATTATGTTGATCACAACACACGAACTACAACGTGGGAAAGACCACAGCCCTTACCTCCTGGGTAATGTAGACTTTTTTGATTTAAATATGATAAAGGTACTATTTTTTTGTTTGTTTGGTGCAGGAAAAATACCGGCTTTTATAAGCAGCTCATTGAAACTGTATTATACATTGTATATTAAGAAATTCTAGCTTTCAGTTAATTTAGGATTATATTAATTGCAGCTATTGTTATAGGAATGTTGGTACTGTATATATCGCTTGTTCTGAACACTTGTTCAAATACAGCTACTCAGTTACTTTGTTCTTCCTTTAAAACTTAAGCATTAAATAATGTATATTTGACCTTTTTTTAGCTGGCACCACTAGGTGTAGTGCACAGGTTCCAAACTTCAGATTTCCAAGCAAAGTGTTTTCTGTGAAACCCACCAACATTGCTTATGGTCACAGGAATTTACAGAGAGAGAGAGCTGAGCATCTATTGCTTGAAGTCCATGTTTGTTCAATGTTGTTGTCCTTCTACCAATAAAGTTGGGGAGTACTTTTGTGTACTTTAGAAATTAAAATCATGCCTGTGACTCCAGTACCTCATTCAAGTACTGTCTAGGAATGTAGCATAAAGAGAAAATTTGTTATGTAATATTACTGAAAAAATTAGCTGTTAACATATGTGTTTCTTGAAAGCTGGGAAAGAAGAGTTGATGATCGTGGGAGAGTTTACTATGTGGACCACAACACCAGAACAACAACGTGGCAGCGACCAACAATGGAATCAGTCAGGAACTTTGAGCAATGGCAATCTCAACGGAATCAACTGCAGGGAGCTATGCAACAATTTAACCAACGATACCTCTATTCGGTAACTTTTACATAAAATTTAGAAATTAATAGAGAGGTATAGGTATACTTTTTGTTCTTTAACTTTTCCTAAAGTGATTTTATAACTATTCAGCCATATATATTACGAGACATTTGGCATCAGCAATTCAGATTCTGATTCTGTTGAAAAATGTTAACAAAAATCGTCCTTAAAGGCAAAAAGTACTCCCTTCTGAGTCTGTTCCCTAACTTGAGCCTTGTGTACTGCATGATACTTAAGACTTTTAATGACAGTAGTAAGAGGTAAAACTAAAGGAGACCCTTAATTGAAAAGGAATGTAAAAGCTGAGTTATGGGCATTTTGAACATAAAATGGCCTTCAAAACTGTTCCAGTGATTAGGAGTCATTCATTACTACAAGTGGCAGTTCTTTTACTTTGAGGTCATTTTGAGAGTTATGCACCTGGTTCAGCTCTGGAATTTCCTACATGGTTTTCCATTTCTCTCAGATAGTTGCTCACCTACTTCTGCCTGAAGAAAATATCATGAATAGCTTGAAAGAAGGTATTTCTTGAGACAGATTTTTCCGTCTGTTACTGGATAAATAGGATAGTTGCATTTTCGGAGTTAAGAATGATGGTGCCTGCTTGTCGCTGTCACTCTAAACAGTTCATTTTAAGAATTGTGCTTGGTCTCTTAAAAAAAGATCCAATTCCAGAGACTTTGTAAGTGATATGTAGCAAAGCTGGAGTGTCTTAAAGAAAAAAGCATTGAAGTACAAGTCTGAAACAGCTTCATTAGACTAGGACTCTATGCATCCGAAGACCTAACTTTGCTTTGAATTTGATGGACTTTTTTCAGGTACCCCTCTGAAGTAAAGGATGCTGCAGTATTCTTACATTTAACAGTTCTCAGCCTCTCATTATCTAATTAGACATTATATCTCATCACTAGCAATAGCAGAAACATGTATCACCACTGATTTTCTTAAACCCTGGAGCTGTGAGTCAATTTATCTTATGCATTAGAGAAAGATAGAATGGTTGAGGTTGGAAGGGACTTCTGGAGGCCATCTGGTCCAATGTAGAGCCAGTTGCCTAGGACTATGTCCAGACGTCTTTTAAATATCTCCAAGGGTGGAGACTCCATAGCCTCCCTGGGCAACCTGTGCCAGTGCTCAGTCACCCTCACAGTAAAAAAAGTGCTTTCTGATGTTTGGAGGGAACCTCCTGTGCTTCAGTTTGTGCCCATTCCCTCTGGTCTTGTGACTGGGCACCAGTGAAAAAAGCCTGGCTCTTTGTCCTTTTTGCACCCTCCTTCAGGTATTTATATACATTGATGAGGTCCCCCCAAGTCTTCTCCAGGCTGAACAGTCCCAGGTCTCTCAGCCTTTCCTCAAAGGAGAGGTGCTCCAGTGCCTTAATCATCTTCATGGCCCTTCGCTGAACTCTCTCCAGTATGAGCCTGGGTCTAACCTTTTTGCACCCTCCCTTCACGTCTTTATACGCATTGGTAACTTGCAATGCAAATCCAAGAATCACAGCTGAAACATATCAAGCCAAGAACTCTTGCTGAGTAACTTTCTGTACTTGTGTACTACTTTGATAAGTTGCTTAAACATCTAAGAAAACTCTCACTTTTCCTGATCGTAAGATTTGTTTTGTTTTGAGCTAGATTTATTCTCTCAGGAACAACATATTTTTTTCATTAAATTAATGTTTCTTTCTTCATTTAATGATTCATTTAACTCTTACTGAAAACCACAGACTCATTTCTTAAAAAGTCGCATCTGACCTTAGAATCATTAGATTAGGATTTGTTTGTGAGACAGAATATACTTGAAAGAGAAAAGATAACTTGGCTGTTTGCATCTCTTTAGAATTCTAAGTAGTGTATCAGTTGCATACCTAGATCTCACATTTTGCTGGGGCAAAAATATTGAAATTATGTTGAAAACAGTGTGAATACTTTTTTTTTTTTCCTTTAGTGCTGCTGTATACTTTTCTTCTAGAATTGTTAAGGTCCAACTACACCTAACTTTTCTTCCTCTGGTGACATACCAGGACTCCGCCTATACAGCAGTTTATAAGTGAGATTGCAATTTATTTTTTGGAAAAAAGTGGATTTAATGAGTAAGAGAATGTTTCGGTTACCTTGAATGGTCAAAGCTAAGCTATGTGAAGGAAGAAAAATAGACAGGATATAGTTATTTCAGTTACTTTTACTTTTACCTGGGTTGATATATTGTACTCCTTTTGGTATTGAATCTGGCTCATCCCATGTCACTGCCTAGTGTTTCAGTGTGTTCTGTGAAATATACGTTAGCCAGCAGCCTCACACAAATGCTTGGACCCATTAAGAAAATCGGAAATCTCTGAATCATGCCACTATTCAGTTCTTTGGCAGACAGCATTTTCTGTTGTGCACTATTCTTTTTATACTCAACACAGAAAAGCCTTTGATTACAGGGTCATTGTGACTGTATAGTTTCCAAAAGCAGAAAAGGCTAACTGCATTTGCTGCTGAGATAATGATAATTCTCTGTTCACATCTAGTGGCTGGTGTCTGGAACAAAGAGGCAGCTTGATTTTGTGTGTAACCATTCCATTTTCTTCTGATCCTTGCTCTGTTTCTGTTTCACAGGAAAAATACCGTAGCTTTTTTTACCTGAATTTGCTGTTGTAAACTCTTAAGTGGATTTGAGATTTTTGGATTGCAAGTGCTATATAAAGCAGTATTAGTAGCAAGGTGATCCTTAAGATACTCTTTGGAAAATGAATATTGGTTCCCATATATCAAAATCCCATTCTGCACAAAAATAAAAAAGAATTGTAGTGCCCAAAAAATTTTAGGGGGTGGATGCTTTTAGTTATAAATCAGAGCATGGATCTTGCAGTTTTGGGGATTTCTGCCTTTTACATTTTATTTTTCCCATGATTTGTATTCTTGGGAGCTATGGGGGGACTTCTGCAAGGTTACAGTATATTACCAGCTTAGTGTGTTTTTACATAACAATTTCATCTGGTTTTTTTACTTTTTTTTTCCTTTTAACCTTACTGTGTGTTGGTATAATTTTAACCATCCACATATTTTAATGAATGTAGCTGCATTTGCAAAGAATGACAAAGTCTGAAAATAGCCAAACATCCAGGGAAGACATCATGTATTGAGGAAGCAAAAACCACTATGTTGGCAGTAATCACTGTGCTTGGAAACACATTATTATGGTAAAGCATGTTCTTAAGCAAGAACATTGTGCTTATCTGCTTATATGTGCTTCTGCAAAACTTCTATGAACTGTACATCTTTAAGACCACTCTCTCTGAAGTTTGCTGTAGGAGGGAAGGGGAGGGTACATTGTGTTGGAAACAGTGGAGGCAAGTGCACAAATCTTGTTATCACATAATCTGTGTTTCTTCACAAAAACAGACTAAAAATGGCATGATGTTTTTTCAGAACGGATAGTCTTCAGAACTAGTGGTAATCTTAAAACACATTAAGGGAAAAAAATATAATACTTGGCCTAACTGAATGTCCTCTTGTTTTTAAATAGGCTTCGATGTTGTCAGCAGAAAATGATCCACTTGGGCCTTTACCACCAGGCTGGGGTAGGTTAATTAGCTGTTGATTTCAGGCAGTGACAGTTACAGAAATTTGGAATGCAATTATTGTACAGTGAGTTTTTTTCTTTTTTTCCCCTAGAAAGGAGAGTGGATTCAAATGATAGGGTGTATTTTGTAAATCATAACACAAAGACAACACAGTGGGAAGACCCTCGAACTCAAGGGTAGGTGTGTATATTGACTGTGCAGATAAAAAGATCTAGCTTAATTCTTATATGTCATGATATGGGGAAAAAGTACTGTCTGCAATTTCTTCTGCAGTTTACAAAATGAGGACCCTCTTCCAGAGGGCTGGGAAATCAGATATACCAGAGAAGGTGTCAGATATTTTGTTGACCATAATACAAGAACCACCACCTTCAATGATCCTCGTACTGGGAAATCTTCTGTGTAAGTGGGAAGTTAAATATATTTTTTAACATTTTAATGTGTTATAGTTTAATAATGAAGTCTTCTCCTACTAGAAAACAATCGATATTTTTAGCTGGAATTGAGCACTAAATTATGAACATTGTTGTCCTGTAAATTTAATCTATTTTTAAGCTTTAATTGTCAGTTTATCTATGACACACTTCGCTGTACTGCTCTAAGGTTCAATAGCTTTTATACACTTTTCAAATACCAAGATTGTAATTGTTTTTTAAATGGAGAGGGGAAGTGAGGGAAACTTGAATATTGAACTAATGTAACTAATAGTTAAATTTTTAAAGAAACAGCAAATGATTGTAATGAGTAGTTATACACTGTCTAAACAAAGCAGTTCTAAATACTTATCAAAAATATTACATGCGCATCTTTTTAAAAATAGTTTAGTCAGAAGTATTGACCCAACCTATGGTGGCTGTCTTAATGTCTTTTATGTAGGGTAGGGTTTACTTCTGATGACATGTTGATGACCTTTCATTCAAAGAGCCTATAAAGTATTGTAGTAGAAGTTCCTTCATAGTTCCACAAGCAGCTGAATTTATGAAGCCTAATTTAGCAGTCTTTCTCTCAGTGAAGACAATAAATTAGATGTCTCTCCTTTAGCTGGCTTGTAATTTTTACAGGATTGATAGGGATTTGAAATCCTCTAGATCTCTACCTTTCTCTCAAATTTGGTAAATTGACTAGCATCTTAAACAAAAAAAAAGGGGGGCGGGGGGCGGGGAGAAGGGAAGACTGGCTGACCAAACCATCAACTGCATTTTGTTTCTGATCCTATCTTACGATAACAATTTTTGTGTATTTTTGAAATCTACATGCTGCTGTTTAGCATTGAAAATACTGTTTGATGTCTGTATGGTTAATGTATCTCAAATATATTTCCTTACAGAAATAAAGGGCCACAGATTGCTTATGAGCGTAGCTTTAGGTGGAAACTTGCTCATTTCCGTTACTTGTGTCAGGTACTGATTAAATAATTATTTACTTTTCGAAACTATTTGAATTTATGTTTATATGTGCTGCCTTTTAACGTTATTGCCTTATGATTACAGTCCAATGCACTGCCAAGTCATGTGAAAATCAATGTATCCAGACAGACTTTGTTTGAGGATTCCTTCCAGCAAGTAAGCCTGCGAAGATTGTTGTGTTTGTTTATCAAGATAAAGCATAAGAATAAAAATGGCCATAGCCAGTCCTTCAGGCACAGTTCTCTTCCTCCAGTATTAGGCAAAGGGGGATTCTTAGGGAAGACTATAAGAACAGAAGTAATGTATATAATACTTTTACCAAATGATCTTTCAGTTCCCAACTGTTTACAATTGAAATGCTTCTTGAGCTTGATGTGGTTTCTGGGTATTTTAATAATCCTCAAGGGATTATTATTCTGTGAGCTTGTCTGTGCTCCTCTGGTGAACTTTCTGCATCTACAGCATCCAGCGGTAGAGAGTTCCATAGCTTAACCACATTGCATACCATATTAACTTAACCACATCGGATTTGCTTTTCTGATTCCTGTGTGTGGTTATATACAATACAAAATGTTGTTTTCTCCAATTAAAACTGGTGTCCTGCTTTGTCCTTCAAACATTAAATCTGTGTAATTGAAGCTTTACAGTTCTTGAGCTCTTACAGTCTGCAGCCAACGTACGTTCTTCCCTTCTTTCTCTGTAACAATGAAAATTCTTGCCGCTGTCACCACATCAAAACCTCTTGGGAGGGATTCTCTATAAGTAAAAAGTATGTTATTAATGAAAGTATATTACACTTATTTTGGATTAGAGTAAATTACTTTTTTAAATGTTTTGCCTAAAACCAAAGTCTGTAATTTATCAGATGAAATGCCTTTTCACCTATTTTCCTTTAATAATAATGAATGCCTTAGGAAGAGTGTAAGAACAGGGCAACCCTATAGTGATACTTTCCAGATATACTCTCCCACTTGCTAGCAGTCTGCTGCTCAAGGATTTTAAGTCCGAGTTGGTATTTTTGTGTGCGGTTCATTGATTGCACGTTCCATGAGATGGTCTAATTGCTTGTTAGATCTGTGTAAACATTTGACATATATGGCGTTTCTGTATCAATTAAATAAAATCTGAATAAGAAGGAGCGATTGTATTGACAATGCATAATTTATAACTTACTACAATTTTTGGGTTTTTTTGGTAGATTATGGCATTAAAACCCTATGATTTGAGGAGAAGATTATATGTTATATTCAGAGGAGAAGAAGGATTGGATTATGGTGGCTTGGCAAGGTAAAAGAAAATTTGCTTAAAATAGTTTTATTTTTTTAATAGCACTCTAACCTTGATTTCTAATGTCATTCTGTTGGCAAAAAAACTGCTTGCTTTTGCAGTCTGGTCCTGGTTACCTTTTTAGCTCCCCTTAATGTATTAAGGAGGTGGAACTGGCAGCACTGGCTATTGGTATGGGTTATACACTTGCATTAGTAAAACTGTGGTCTGAGTTGTTCAGTTCTTTGACAAAGATTTATGTTTAAATTGGAATTTTTTTATGCCGGTTAATTGCTCTAGACTGAGTTATTTCAGAAATTTTCTATCAAAAGGTCCACTTTCCTGAAAGTGAGGACTGTGGAAAAATGAAGTGTTTTGCTTATTTGGAAAAAAACCAAGCAAACACCAGATTGGGGCTGATATGAACAGAAAGGACATAAACAAGAGGAGAGTAGTGCAGGCATGAAGTAACAGCAGGCGAACAGACTATGTAGGCTGTACAGGAATGCGAAGCAGCTAGACTACAAGTTTTTCTAGAATCTGAAGTGGAACTTGGAGGGAAAATCTGACAACAGGAAAACCATAGAAAAAGTGTGTTTCATCTGTTGACCATATAGAAGACAACCACTGACTACTGCTGCCAGTTACTTGACTGAAATGTTACTATTAGGATGAAAATTTCAGTACTACTGCAGATCCAGGGAATTAGAAGTAGTCATAGGTGATAGAATTTTTCTTGTTTGCTTGGTGTTTTTAGTGTAAAGGTGTTCTGTTCTGGTTTTGTTCTGGTTTTATGTAGCTTACTGTGTTAAAATGAAGTTCAGTGAAAATGTGTAGTATTAGTAAGTAAGGAAGCTTGCCTCTGAAGGTTGAGCTTCTTTGGATATGTGGATTGTTATGCTTCTGAGTTACAGTATCTGATAGGCTTTGGGGGGTGACTGCAGGAAGGAATCGAATTTTTGCTTTGCGTGGGTTTTGTTTGGTTGGTGTCCCTATCATGATGGCCCTAGGCATAGGATGGGAACCGGGAGAGTTCAAGTAATCCGTTCCAGAGAAACAAAGTATTCTAAAGAAGTGATGCTGGAATAATTTAACTGAAGAATGTTAGTCACAGAAAGTAGCGGAATAAATAAATAAATAACAAATATATAAGTAATATAATTTCATAGTTTTAGGAGTAAGTCTTGCCCAAGATTTTGTATGTGAAACTGAGAAGCAGCAAGGATCTCATTGTAACTTGAGCTGAGAATTCTTAAGTGACATGTAAATGTTCATGTACTGACTTGCTAATGTAATACTGCATTAATACAAATACAGAAAGCTGATGCACCTGATTTGTCACCTGTCTCTCAGCAGACTAAACTCAGTGTTCCCTCCAGATTTTTACCTTGTGTTTAGCAGGACCAATGTGACACTATGTCCTGTGGCTAGTTCTAGCTGTTGACGTGAAAAATTTGTGGCTTCTGCAAACTTCTTGTTGATGACTGATTTCTTCGATTCATCCCTTGTTACCTGGCTTTGATCTAATTTAAATGCCTATTATATTTGATGCTTGTATGCAGAGTTAATATAATTGTGTCAGTATAAAACTTGCATAGAATGCTGTACAACATTCTCGTGTTTATTAAAAGATACACAGAAGCCTGTCAGGATTATTGTATCCTGACTGCCTTTGTCTGTTTACTTTCTACTTGGCCTTTGGGTTGGAAGCGTATTGTAGCGAATCATGATCCATGACTTGAGTTTCATAGAACTGCTAGGAGAAACATGCCAACAAACCTCTCATTTCTCTACCCTGATCTCAGGTAAATATAGGGATAGAAAAGATGCCTCTTGAATGTGACAGCTGAAAGGCAGTCAGGGTGGAATTCAGTCTCTGCAGTTATTATAGGATAGACTTTTAGCTTTTTTTGCGGCTTTTGCCTAAGCCTGGTTGTTCAGTTTCAAGCATTTAGGGCCTGATACAAAAACTCCTGAGTGTATATGACTGCTTCTGAAGTCTCTGATTATATGCAAATACTATAAAGCAACAAACACTCTAAAAATCAGCTATCCTAACACTGAAATACCAGATTCTGTTACTATTTCAGGTCAGCTGAATTGGAAACCATGGAAGTGGTGAATAACATTTATTAGTTAAACCTCAACAAAAATATATTTTCACATTGTCATGTCCTGTGGGCTTAACTGATGCATGGTAATTTGTTAAACCACAGTAACTCAGTGTGTGTTTTGCTGTCAGATTGGGAAAGCAAGTAAGGTGTGCTGTGGTTTGGGTTTTTCTGTTTTGTTTTGTTTGACCTAGATTGTTTATGATAAACACTGCCCATGGAATAATCTGTAATTTTTTTGAATAAAGACTTGAGTTGTATGCAGTAAAGCAGGCATGAGGAGGATAAATACTGTGTACTGGTTGAGGGATGGACTCTGTAGGCAAAAATGTTACTAATATGCAACTAAAACCTGTGCTATGAGGGAGTGTTGAAGGTTACAATCTTAACAATCATTTCTGAACTTCAGAATGACTTTCTAACCTTATCGTTTTTAATAATGAAATTTTTTATATTTAAGAAGTATATAATGCCATATATTATTCTGTGATTCTAATACAACACTGTTTATATTATTTTTCTAAGTTTGCATATATTTTGACCATTTTGCTAGTTACCTAAGGGGAATGGTGATAAACATCTGTATTTGATGGTTTTTATGTGTATACATGTTTTTTTTCCTTAGAGAATGGTTTTTCTTGCTTTCCCATGAAGTACTGAACCCTATGTACTGCCTATTTGAATATGCTGGCAAGAGCAACTATTGCCTGCAGATAAATCCAGCATCAACAATCAATCCTGACCATCTTTCATATTTCTGTTTCATTGGGCGCTTTATTGCCATGGTAGGTTAGATTTTTAAGGTTTTATTATTTGCTGTAGCTATACATTTATTCCTGAACAGTATTTGTTTTTACAGTTATTAAAGATTATATTAATCTCTTAGAAATGGAAGATTAAGGCATGTAAGGTTATTGAGCCAAAATATTCCCTGAGAGTTAAGACTCTTACACACTCAAGTTTCCTGGAATAGTGATGAAAGTTAATACGACATTCAATACAATATTTTATTTTTATCAATTGGATGTGTGTACTTCATGCAAACTGCTGTTTGATTGAGTGTCTGAATACTGATGCTCTGAAAAATGTGACTAGTGTTTTCCGAAAAAGGCTCCTTGGTTAGACTTGGTATACCTTACTGTATTTGAAAAAATGAGTTAGAAATGTTTTGTGGAGTACACTGAGCCTTAATTTAAACGTACATACTTGGATACAAAGGTCAGATACTGAGGAGAGCAGAAGGTGGCAGGGAGCTGATTCTCTGCCATCAGGTTTCTCTTAAACTAAAAGCTGACAAGGCATGTTGTATCATTTCTTCTTCTGGTATCACTGAGTCAATTTTCTATAGTGGACTCCTGCTCTGTCACATTTCTTTCCTTCCATGTAGTGATACAGTCATCTTTCCACATAATCATCATGATGTCTACAGGTAGCCCTCAGCAACATCCCTGAACATAGTGAATAAAAGAGTAGATAAAAGTGCATTTTCAGATTGAAGAGACTGTCATCTTCTCCTATTGTTTAGGCTTTTTGTATGAAATTAGAATAAATGCAAGGAAAGTGTAACATAAATGGAAAAATACTTTCAGACTTAAAATAAGTTAGGTTTGGAGGGTTTCTTGGTTTTGCTTTTCTTACAGATGCTTCTTGAGAAACACATTTGTTCAGTTTTGATGATAACATCTCTGATTTCGAGGATTTTATGGCCAAGTTCCCCATTTCTGTGCTGTCATGAAGATTTACTTCATTGGGTTAACACTTTCAATAGGCTGCACACTTTTTTCTTTCTTTTAGAACCCTCAGCAAGCTATTGTGCCATCTAGCAGGAAGGCGTGATAAAGCCAGTTAGCTGCTAGAGCCAAATTCTGTTTCTTTTAGTCAGTGATTTTTGATCTTGCGCATAAGATAAATCCATAATTGAAAAGTTAACTTTAGGAAAACTACTTCATAAAAGTACAGATCATAGAAGAGAACTTAATTAAGGTATTTAATGTAATTAAAAGGCGAACTTTTCGTTCCTGAAGGATTTTTGTATTTTTATTTTAAATTCTGTAAGGGGGGAGAGGAGAGAGAGAGACTTGTGTAATGGTGCCTAATGTGGTCAGTTGCAAGATTTGAGTATGTTCATGGTTTATAATGGATGGCACTTCCTGCAGTACTTCCTGGGATACCCTCTAGTGGCTTAAAATAGCTCAGGTAATAATAGAAGTGGGAATCATTTTAAGAAGTCTAGATAGGCTTTTTAAGTACAGTTGTAGTTTCTGTCCTTCTCACAGTTCTAAAATAGTTGTGATTTTCAGATCATAAAGACTTCTTTTGGTTTTAAGTACTGAAATAACCACAGACGTTTTCAACTGAAATGGGTTTAAACATAAAGAATATACATCTTACTCTGTAACAAAAAGCTGTTAAATGAGGTTGGCTGAGGCAACTTTTATATTTTGCTTTAACATTATCATAGACATTAAATGAGATGATTTAAGAGCTTACTTTTGCAAAAAGCGGGAAATCATATGGCTGGATGCTGCACTTGACATTTAATTTTTCCATTTCCCATGCAAACAGGAGTATAGACTAGTTTAAAAATAAACACGCAAATAAATAAATGCATAAAGGCCTCTGAGAGAACCTTTTTAAGCTCTCCTAAAGCAGAAGAAAATGCATGCTAGAGTAAGCCTTAGGGGGGAAGTTAGAAGGTGGAGAAAAAAGATGGAGCCTTGCCTTTTTCTAGAGGAAATGGGCTGTTACATTTGCTCTTCTTCTCATAGAATTTCAGCTGTAAGGAAAGACAAGCAATGAATGCCATACGTGGCCTATGTTTAGGATGATATTTTAAAGAGGTATTTTAGTGAAGGAAGTGTACTTGATAAGGATGAGGGAAAAAAAATGTTTTCTTAGTTATAACTGTGCTCTGTTAGGTCTCAGACGCACTGAGTCAGTATAGAGGTTAACACTCTGTGTGTGTGTGTGTGTGTGTGTGTAATGCTTGCTTCAGTACTAGAAATTAGCTTACAGCCTTTGTGCACGCATGGAGAGGCAAGTGTGACCATGTTTTGTTTTTTTTTTCAATTTCTTTTTTGCAGTAGAAGGGAGAGTTTAATTTCTCTGTTCTGTTACTCACCTATAAAAAACATGATTCCCAAAGCTCTTTGCGTAGCAGTCTGTGATTGCATTTTTAAATTGTTTTTTAAAAGCTGCAGTAGCATTGTGTAAAGGATGATTTTGCAGGATGTAAGTAGTAAAAAATGGCAGTAGTACTCAAGTAGGATCAAATATTATGATCAAGTAGGATCAAGTAACACTTGGCATGTATACCTATCCACATAATAAAGAGGAAACTTAGTAATTTCCTCTTTTCATAGGCTCCATCCTCTTGTGAGAAGATTTTTTAATCAAAGAATTTCTAAATTGTAATGATAAACATACGCTTGGATAAATTTTGTCAATTAATCATTTTTTTTTCTTCCCATTTAATGTAATGTTTTGTTCTTTTTAAATACCAAGCTGCTACTGCTACTTGGTGCTTTTTATTATTTGAAGGAGAAAGGAAAAAAAGAATTCAAGTCCAGAAATACTTCAGTAATTCAGTAGTTCAATAAAAGCTAAACAGACTTTTTTCTGTTCAACAGGCATTGTTTCATGGGAAATTTATTGACACTGGTTTTTCTCTGCCTTTCTACAAACGAATGCTGAGCAAAAAACTTACTATTAAGGACCTAGAATCTATTGATACTGAATTTTACAACTCCCTAATTTGGATAAGGTTTGTAGATTTTTTTTTTTGTGTGTGTGTGATGTTTCATGGATTCTTTTGTTTATATAGAATTCATTGTGCTTTTTTTTTTCTTTTCATTCAGGGATAATAACATTGAAGAGTGTAACTTGGAAATGTACTTTTGTGTGGATATGGAGCTCTTAGGAAAAGTAACCTCACATGAGCTGAAATCAGGAGGTTCAAATATCTTAGTAACTGAGGAGAACAAAGAAGAATATATTGGGTAGGAAGGTGTAGATGTTGAAAAAAAGTGTTCGTATTTCTTCTGTTGCTCTAGTCTTTTTTGACACAGTATATGATTTGTTTTTGTTTTGGTTTGGTTTTTTCCCTATTACTATGTAGTTCTTGGGACTACTGTTGAAATGGTATCTTGGTACATTTTGGTATCTTGGTACGCATGCTCTCTTGGTACATTTTGATCTCTGCTATTCCACTCTTCCCCCCCCCAAAAAAAAAAGAAAAAAGAGAAGACCTGATAGAGGATGACCCGTCTTGTTATTACATGTACAATGAGAGAACAGGTGAAACTGAAAATGAGCAAACCTATTTTCAGTAACTTTAGGTAACAAATCCAGGTGGAGGGAATACATGTATTTGACAGAGGATTTCAAAATTGTTCAGAACTTTGCTGTCACTGTGGAAACTGAAATTCAGAACAGTGTATAATGTGGTGTGACTTAAACTGTTTTTTCTCTTTGTTCTGTTACGCTGCTCTTTCCTGCTTCTCTCATAATCTTATCACTACCTTTCTTTTTCTGAACCTGTATTTCTGATCCATCTATTCAGAATGATCTCAAAAGCAGATGTACACAGATCCTTTTCTGTGATACAGTGTATGTCCAGTGCTGCACAAAAAGTTTCCACTTAAATTAGCAGTCTTTAGTTTCTCACTGAAATAGTTTCTATAGTATGTATATATATTTATTGTCTTTTTTTTTTTATTATTCAGAAGTGGCTTAACCATTTTAGTTGAAACTTAAAAAACGTTACCTCTTCCTCCAAATCTTAGCATAAATCAGAAGCTCAAAACAGAAAATGACTACTCTTTGTTGAAGCTGGAAATAGTCTTATGCTGGAAGTACTGGGCAACCATAGTTATAGGTATTATAAGCAACAGTATTTCTTACTATTCTCTGCCTACATGGTGTTTTTTGCTCAAGAACAGAGTATTTTAAAATCAGTGGAAATTTTTCTTTTCTACCATTGAAACACTAGGATTACGCACTTTTTAAGCTAAAGCAAATTTTGCCATAACAAAATGCCCAAGTAGCATTATTTTCATTAAAAGGTTGCTGAATTTTGATTAGTGAAAGGTTAATAATAATAAATATTTTTTTTTAACTGGAATGGTAATCTAAGTACATCTTGCTACTTTTACTGTTGTCTGAGTTTTGAGATTTGTGATAGTATTGGTATGGTAAGTCCCTTATAGTCTATGGAATCATTCAGTGTAAGAAAGTAAAATTGGAGGGAGTGTGACCTCATGGGAACACACGCGCAATCATACATGTTTGAAATTCTTCATGTTGAGTGCTAATTGATGTTTAATTTATGTTTGGTTTTTTTTCTATCCCAGGCTAATGGCTGAGTGGCGATTTTCTCGGGGAGTTAGAGAACAAACCAAAGCTTTTCTTGATGGTTTTAATGAAGTTGTTCCTCTACAGTGGCTACACTATTTTGATGAAAAGGAGCTGGAGGTGAGGTTTTCTCTTCAAACTTTTTACCTTTTGCAAAGGTAATACATATGGAATGATTAAATAGATAGGTCAGCTTCAATCTCTTATCTGTGGCATGCTGCATTTGATAGCTTCTGAAACATCGCGAATTTAATAGGAGCAGTGGAGGTAAATCATGGTGAAAAGCCAATATCTATTGAATTGGTGTTTTCTGGTGTTCAGCGGTTGGGCATTTTAGATTCCATCCTCAGTATTAAGATGTGTTTTGCAAGTTTCTGTGAAAGGATCAGAATATGAGGTCACAGACAGATCTATTAGTCATAGAAAACTTTTCCCTCTGTGGTAGATGGGTAGAATTACCTTGTAACAGATGGCACGAAGTTCATTCTGGTGTATAGTGATCGCTTACTTTCACATACATGGTCTAGGATAGGTTCTAGGGTTATTACACTTAAGGACAGAAAGTTGTAGGAAACAACAAGTTTTGAAACTGAATTTTGCATATCCTCAATATGTAACCCAAGGGCTGATAACAGGAATCACTTGCATGCACCATGTTTACTTAACAATCAGCCCGACCTATGTTCGCTGTTGGGGTTGTGATTTGGAGCAGGGACAAAAGGCTTTGTAGCGCTATGATTACTTATTTCTGTGAGACCTGCCAAGAGACCTGCCAAGGTTCCCTGTATATAATGCGCAGTGTTCTGAAAGCTTCTTAAGTTAAATGGGAGTTTTTCTGAGAAAGGACTTTGATCTATCTTATTTAGTGTTCAGTTTTCTAGGAGGCTTTGCCTTTAGCACTTTCAGCTTTCATTGCCTCTTGTAATGAATACTTTGCAGACTTACACTTTGCAGTGTGTTATATCTTTACTAGTGGTAGCAGTAGCAGCAATGTAAGCATCATCATCTTGGAACATGAGGCAAGGTTTTAATGAGAAAGTTAATATCCTCTTTCATATAAAATTTCCTTTTATGGAAAAGGTAATATCTTTTATTATTGAAGAATTAGTCAGAAGAAACTAAGTTTCTGGTATGCAGGCTTTCAAACCAATTAAATACATAAACAATTTTGGAGGAGTTCTGTAAACTTAGGATAAAGGAAGATCTAATTGTGGAGTAAAATGAAAGAATTACCGGTCCTGTTTTGGGAGCAAGAACTTCGTTTTTGTTAGCATGTCTCATACAAGATACAAAATTAACTCTTAATTTAAGTCTGTAGACTTGTATATTGACATGTATATTGTCAAGTAGTCATTCTCTTTTCTAGGTTATGCTCTGTGGTATGCAGGAAGTTGATTTAGCAGACTGGCAGAGGAACACTGTTTATCGTCATTATACAAGGAATAGCAAGCAGATCATATGGTTCTGGCAGGTATGTTGATCAGTACAATTTCTGACTTTAGATTTTGTTTTGTTTTGTAACACAAATTACGTGGAGTGGAGGGATGCCATCTGAAGGAATGCTTCCTTTCTTTTTTCTTTTCAGAGAAGGAAAGGAGGATTACTGGTTCTTAGGGAGCATGCTTTAGGGTGGGAAATGGCAGATAGATACCTGCATTACATTTGGATGGTTGGGTCATGAGTACTTTTTCTGTATCTTGTTCTTCTTATTGATTGTACAACAATAAGATTTTTTTGTATTCTTAGCAGTGATCTACCTTCAAAATGTTCTTATATGTAGTACACCTGTACATCTGAAATGCCACATATTATTCATGATTATTGTCATATTAACTGTGCCAGTCTAGCATTGACTGATTATAACTCACATTTTAATGAAGTTGGCTAAGAATTATTTTCAGAAAAAAACCTTCAAAAATGCTATACAGGCTCCCAGTTTCTATGAATTTCCCTAAAGAGAAGTCACGGCTAGGCAGTTCCTGTCTTGTGATAAATTATAGCGATGCTTTCCTATAAGAAAATGATACAAATCAATTATTTGCTAGCTTACTTATATTGTCAGAATAATGTAAGATCTGATGATATGATCTCTTTTTAAGAAGCTTGGTACTGAAAGAACCAGAAGTTAAGGTAACTTGGGTATGATTTCAACATCTATAGAAAAAAAATACTAATCTTGTTAGCCAGGTTTTTCTGAGTCAAAATACTAGTTGCCCTCTCAATTACTGAGATGTTCTCCGTCTCCCCTCTCTTTTCTTCCTCTTCCCTTTCCCAGTGAATTTCCTTACAAAGTGATGCAGCTGTTACGGATGGTGTTTTCTCTCACCAAGGCTGCCACATACTTCAGTCTTGAAATAACCCAGAGCCTGTGGCTAGGCTATTGCTGTGTTTAACTAAAATGGCAATAGTCTTCATATAAAGCGTTGGCATGATTTATATTTTAGTGTAGAATAAAAAAGGTAAAGATTCTTCTTATTTGCTGCTCCCAGCCTTCACATTGTAACGGTTGACAGTGCATATAATCTGAAATCATTGTTTTCTCCCTCCACCCAATTTTGCTGAAATCAAGAAAGATAAACTGTTCTCAAGGTGGTGTCTTTTGAAACGGAATTATACTTTTTCAACAGTCTTGTGGGGGTTTTGTTTTTCTCCAGCTATGTTAAAGATTTTTACTAAGTAATTTGAATTTCTGTGCCTAGTTTGTAAAAGAAACAGACAATGAGGTTCGCATGCGACTTCTGCAGTTTGTCACTGGCACTTGCAGATTACCACTGGGTGGATTTGCTGAACTTATGGGTAAGTAAAAGGTGACCAAAAATTTTATACTGTAACTGTTCCATTTGCAAATGAACCATGCTGCAAGTGTACAGCTAGCAAGAACTTCATGTACATCAGCTTGGACCTAGAAGAGTTTTTTATATCAGAAATCCCATGAATACATTTATAAATTATTAGGGAATTAGCTTATTTCTATGAGAAGAATGTTCATATTCATGTAACATTGAGTAGCACCTAAGGCGCTCTTTCTGCTGTATCTGAGTTGTGTCTTATGTCACGTATATATCATATGTGCTTCTTAAAAGGAACGGATTACACTTTTTTTAATCTTTTTCTCTAGGAAGTAATGGTCCTCAGAAATTCTGCATTGAAAAAGTTGGTAAGGAAACCTGGTTACCAAGAAGTCACACTTGGTGAGTTGTTACATGTAAACTTTCTGTACCTTTAGTGGGTCTCTCTTCTGGTCTTCCATTTCCAAATCAAATGAAATGTAATTTGAATCAGTACTCCATCTTCAGCTTCTTTGATTGCTCTGGCATGCCAATACTGAAAACTTTTCCAGTTGCCCTATTCTTAAATTTTGCTACTGCACTGTACACAGTTTGTCAGTATCAGATCTCTGAAAAGTATGATATCATCCTTCTTGCATAGAACTGAGAGGTGTTTCCCTAATTCTTTATTTTAGAGAATATTAAAAAACTGAACAAAACTCATGTTGGTGTAAGGTATATACAGTTACTAGATACACTTATACAGTAACATTATAAAAGATAAATGTATAGTCATGAGAAAAAGTAGCGTGAAAGAAATCACAGCAAATGTTCAAAACAAGGATGCAGGTACTTTTTCCCGCCAGGCTTTAGACTCTTACTGGCTTGGTATTCCCATGCCAAAGTGGTGCAACAGGTACAAAGATCAGTTTGCCCTATATACTGTGTGCAAAATGGATACACCTTTCTTTGGCAACATTGTGACAATAACATTCATTATACTTTTAAACTAGTTCAGGGAATCCTCCATTTTACCATGTCTCCACTGGTGCTGTTTTTTCAAGTGATGATTGCAAGAGTTAAACATCCCTTTTTGTCTAAGGTAATTTTGGGGAAGACATGGAATGAAACAGAATTTTGGCAGAAGCCTTTTAGGGCGAAGTTTAGAGGGAAAAAACCTCCTATATCCCGGCATGCGTAGGAAGGAGAAAAATTCATCTTTTTCATGCTCTTGCTGGAATTTGGAGATGCATCAAACTAGGATGGTACTAAACTTCATGGTGAACGTTTCCTTTTCTGAGTATTATAGTTCTCTGTATCTTGGGCTGTCTTTAGTCTTTAAAGGTTCTGGTTTTTATCTGATGTGATAACAGTCTTTCGTTTCTTAAAGTATTCCTCTCAAACTTTGTCTGTTTTTACTGCTCATAGAAATGTCAAGGCAGTGAGATTGCACTGGTTGCTATTTCTTAATTTCTAATTGTTAGATCAGAACATTTTTAACTTCAACTATAGCAGTCAAGTTCTATAGTGTTCTACATGGGATTTAGATAACCTTAATAAAATTTTGTTTTTTTTCTGCTCAGTTTTAATCGTTTGGATTTGCCACCTTATAAAAGCTATGAACAACTAAAAGAGAAGCTGCTCTTTGCCATTGAAGAAACAGAGGGATTTGGTCAAGAGTAGAACTGGCTTCTAGTCAAAAAGGAGATCATGCATAGTAAAAGGCCCAGCCAACTAAAATTGCACACTTAATTGTATATAAGCTTTTTGTTCTGTACAGTGATCTTTCTGGAACTCTAAAAGTATAATTGTTCTCCGTTCTTCCACAAAGATATGCAAAACAGTTCAGCCTTTTCTACTTTTATTTATTGCCCTTCCAAAAGACCAGAAAAAACCCTCATAAATTTTGAAAGCAGAAGAGACTTATTTAAAATATATATAAAAATATAAAT